GAAGTGCCCTTGCCTCCAGGAAGGTGCCTGTGCCTCCATTTAGGAATTAAACAAAGAAAATCCATTTTTCTTCATGGTTGTTTGAACATTTAAGGCAGGGGACAACTTTCAGGCTGTTCTTATTTGAGCAGAAGCTAGGATCAGGGCTGGAGGAAGACCTTCTGGGTGACTTGATGTATTGTGGCCTATGGTATCTATCCCATTCTTTCTTCTGGACTGTCCTTGCACTACAAATAGGTCATTCTGTTCAATTGCACGTATCTTTTGTTTAGCTGGAAAGGTAAGCATGATAAAAGCACATGATTCCTAAGAACCTGTGGGATTTAATTGATTTTACATGTTTCATCTTCTCAGGCAGGAGATAATCTGTACAAATAAGATAAACTATAAATATTTTAATTGTATGCTTGTTGTGTATAGTATGTTAGCTTCAGTCTCTCTGTTGACTGGCCCTGATCCCCTCAGAGCTCTCAGAAATAACAATCCTGCCATACTTGAATCCTGCAGCTAATTCATATTTATCCTTATTAAAGCTTTTCTTGCTTTTTCTAAAGGATGATACAGGCATTTTAATTCTATGCTATCCATTTCCTAAATGGGACAGTCACCAAATGGGTGACTCAGCCCCTCTGTCTTGTGTGACATCTCATCAGGAGACAGCCTGTGACATGGTGGGAGGTTGCTCACTGCTAATGCTTAAACTCCATCTGGTTTTGTTGCTGCTGTTGTTGTTTGGGTTTCTTTGTATTGTTTTGTTGTGTTTTTTTTTTTTTCCTGCTCCCGCTCAAGTATTTGAGTTTTAAGTAAAGCATGTAACAAGTTCGCTCCTCATCATGACTCAGAAACTGAGTCCCATTCCCAGTCCTTTGTGAAATTCTGTAGCTAATGATCTTAACACTGACTTTGTTTGTACTGAAGTCAATGAACCACAGCAGCTCTCAAAGGGCCTGGTCTAATATGGTCTACTACAAATGCAGATAGGCAACGTCAGAGCGCCAGGAGTACCTTTTGTGTCAGATACCTGAAAGTCCTTTCCAGTGATGTCTGAGTAGCCAGTTTTAGCCTAGGGCAATGTCTGAAGGATGTCTTATTCCAGACATCTACCGTGACTCATTGGCCCATGAGTTCCTCGCCTTTTGTTCCCTTTATAGTCAGCAGAGAAAGAGCCTGGAGTGGATATCTAAAGTACTTGGATGACTCTGCCCTGGAAGTGCCTATTCTGCTCTACTGTTAATTTCTATTAACATATATTAATTTCCTTTATATGTACTTGGGTTAAATTGCCTTTTTCTGCTTTCCACCTGAAGGCACTGAGAGCTCTTTGTATTTTCTGCCAATCTGCATCCTTTTATGACTGAAGTAATGTCTATGACAAGCAGTCACTACTAATTCTTTCTTCTGTCCTTTTTCTGAAGTGACATTCTTCCTAACATCAGCCTTCCTGGAAATCATTCATCTGTGTTGGTTCTATCACTGCATTCTCCTAACAGTATTTTTAACTAGATAAAGAAGGGAACTTATGCTCTGGGGTGAAAAGTGAGTGCTGATCCTTTTCTTTCCTGTTTTTTTTTTTTTTTTTTTTTTCCTTCCTAGAAAAAGGCCTGTCTTTGCTAGGGTACCATCTTTGCAACTATAGCCTGACCAAAAATGTGTTTAAAATGCTTGCCTACCAAAAGTCCTATGAGAAAACCACTTCCTGTGGAGGATGGATACCATGGATGATGTGTCCTCGGACGTACTATAAAACGCAGTATCATACTGTTGAAGTCCCTGAAACCATCACTCTTACAGATTGCTGTGAAGGATATGAGCAAGTTGGACTCTACTGCTCTTTAGGTAAGTTTTAGTTAGATTAATAGTTGAAATAAATGTCTGATGGATGAGAATTCACTTAAACTGAGACATGTAAAGTCTTAATTCAGTTCTGGGCAATAGGTTTGGATTCACTGACATCAGTGAGTCTGCAAAAAGCTACAGTAAACTTGGTCCAACGTGGTAAGGAGTAGACATGAAAGACTGATGCTCCTGATTCTTGCTCTTTGCCACCCTTAGTCACAAATCATTAAAGTTCCAGGTAAACATGAAGAAAGCACTTGCTTGCTACCCCCATAGGGTCACATTAGTTGTCCTGGTTCAGGCCAATATCTGTGTCCAAGTGTGATAACTCACGTAGCCTTGACTGGTGCTGAGTGTGCTCTGAGCGTGCTTGCATTTACAGTAGGAGCTTTCTTCTCAGAAGTAATTCAGGATGCACTTAGGATAATATCTCCTTTGATCTGGAGCAGGGTCAGTTCCTAGGATGCAAACCGAATTTTGGGGTTAATTTAAAACAACCTGTGGCCTCAGGGCAAGTTAGTACCAACTGCTTTCTGATCAAAACTACATTAGGGCCCATTTTCTCAGGGTTTCCTTTGTTACCTAGGGCTATGTTGGATGACTAGAAACTGGTGAACCTTTTGGTGGGTCTGATCTAACTTCTGGGTTTTAAAAAGACTCTGCTCAGGAAGACTTAATAATCTTTGACTCAAGATGGAAGCTTTTTCCCCTTCCCACATCAGACCTACCAGCTGTCAAGGAATTCCGAATTTTAGCAGAAGTTGAGTAGCTGATGGAAGGGATTCCTTGGCTTGGGGAAAAGGAACTTTTTATTTATTTATTTATTTATTTTTTTTTTTTTTTTAATGGATAAAGCCACAGCTGTTTCAGTTGAACAGGCATCTTGGATTAGCTAGGCTGGCACTGAACTGCTCCAGCATCCAGAAAAGTTCTGCAGGACATAATTTTGTCTCCTACTTTCAGTATGATATTGCATTTTCTCCATTTCCCCTTTTCAAGTTATGCTCCTGAGCATTTACAGAGTCTCAACACTGGAACAGAATATCAAAAAGGAAAGGTCCTATTGCAGCCCTGGCCCTTGCTTTGGGTCATAAGACTTGAGTGACTCAGTTCTATGGGAATGTCCTCGAACCTGCTCCTGCATGGGATCATATAATGTGACATGAGAGGGTATGAGCCACATGTCTTGTCATGCGATCTGTCAAGAGCAATGTGTTCAGCTTTTAAGTTTCTTCAGAGCATTGGAAAATGAACCTCCAAATAATTTTTGCAAGATGTTTTCTTAACAGTTACTGGTAGAATATTGTGTCGAGCAGGAAAATGCTTTTAACAAAAAGATGGGAACACAGAGGTGGTCATTGCATTTTACTTGTTCTTAAAATGACTTGCTAGAGGAGAGGAATGAAAGCATAATTAGATACATATCATTCTTCATTTTTTGTATCCTGCAATTGTTTGGCTGTGATGTGGCTGTTATGGAGTGTCAGCCAGGGCAAAATTTGACCTGTAGGTTACAGTATATCCAGGCAGCCTTGTCAGACTGGCAAAGGACTCACTGTTGACCATCTGTGTTTTCCCACAAGTAGTTCCAGGCTGGGAAAAATCTCCAGTAGATCTAGTTTGTGTTGAATAGTCACTTCAGTAAGGTCTTTTTTATATTCATGCTTGTGCATACATGTGCGCACATATGTATCAAATGACAAGGCTAAGAAGCAATTGGAGAAAATTACTTTGTAATTCTGTAGTACAAGGAACTAGCTATGTCAGCAGAATATTGAAGAGTGACTAGCTAGTTATGGTTGTCTCTATTTTCACAAGAAGCACTCTGAGTGATCATGATTTTCAAGGTGTTTCAGAGCCTCTGAAAATCAAGACCGTCTTCTTGGGAGGAAAAAACGCACCCTGGCAACACTTTAAATATTTTTTCACAGTATCATTCTATGCCTTTTAAGAGGATCTCTAGGGATATTTTAGACTTGAGAGCTGTTCATGAGCTTATTTCATCTAACATTAACCAATCTGTAAATCTCTTGTAAAGCTTAGCTGCAGAATTTCCTCTCTGCCCTTGCCACATTGTTGATGAGCACTCTGGGCAGGTTTTTCCATGAAATACCCTGGTCACTTTGACTCTTTTTCCTGTCAAAGTTAATTTGGGAATATTTTAAACCATAAAATGATTTGTATAGCTTCTAGGTGATTTCTGTGTTTACATTATTCTGGTATCTTTGTTTTTCAGGGTATTACTCATAAATTCTGTGAATGGTAATGCACTGTCTAGACACAGTCTTAAATAAATGATGAAAAGAGAAACTGGAACTGCTGAAATTACTGCACAGCATGCTGTTGAACTACTTTTTTTTTTTTTCTTCTTGACGTTATCCATGCTGGCATGCTCTCCATTCTACTAGGAGTGGAAAGGTCTGCATGACCTTTTGCAATAACCTGCTCCTGGCCACTCCCCACCTTTCTTCCTAGAAGAAAACATTTACCCCTGTCTGGGATATGGCAGGCTCCACTTTTCTCATTTCTTTACTGTTGGGCAAGAAACGTCTAGATTATTAGCCAGGTTGCTCCAGTAGTTCTCACTAGTTGCCTGTCAATCCATTAGGATAGTATTAAAGACACAAACTACTTTATCTTTTTTTAAAATTAAAATTGCAAAGTTTAGTTTAGTATCTGAAAGTTAGGAAGTGCTGGAATTAATGCTAAAGGTAGAAATAAGTAAAAACAGTCTTTGTTTCCTCTCTTTGTGCCTATGCATGCAGATTAATAAAGTCTTTTAATTGCCTGATCTGGCACTGCCTTGCCCCAGGATCACGTGTCCCTTTGGTGCTCAGGGACGTTGGGGACCCTCTAAATTGCTCCCTGGCAATGCATCATCCCGACCTCCGTGCTCGGTGGGTGGTGCAGTGCTCTGCTGAGCCTCCCTCTGAATACAGAATTATTCATCACCTCTTGAGGTGAATCCTGGGGCAATTCACAGATGGCACTTTGTCTTCACGAAGCCTGCGGGAAGGAAGGGAGGTTCTCTGCCTTTCACAGCTGGGCAACCGAGCTGCAGAGAGACAGAGCAAACCATTCTGTGTGACCACTCTCTCACACCTAGGGTGCAGTTTTTTGTTTTTAAATTCATTCTTATTTTTATTTTTTGAGCTCTTAGTGCTGCTTTTAACAACTTGCACAGTTGGAGCACAGGGTCTCATGTCCTCGATGGCCTGATTGCTAAGCAAGTCCCAGGGCTGCAAGTCAGGTTCCTGTGAAACCCATGGCTCTGAAACATGTTTGTTGTATGATACTCCCAGCAGCCTGCAGGAATTTCTTTTGGGCAAAGATAGGGTCCAATTCTCCAGGCTAGTTTCCAGCTTCTTGTATGTTTATTTCTCCTGGCGGATGGTTTGGTGCCTACTTTCCGCCTTACTGCGTAAGATGAAAACATTCGTCTGAGCAGGTAAAGTCTAGCAATGCTCAAAGACCCCAAAAACAGGTTCATATGATGAAAACTGCCAGTCTGCCTTTGTAACAGGCTTTGCCAGGAGCTCTTTCTATAACCTCATAGATTTGTCTCCACCTTCTGATGCCTGAGACAAATACAGGGTTTTGGTCCCTGGCTCTGCCACACCCTCTGGATACAACCCAGTCTCTCCAGGTGGGAGAAGGGAGAAGAAGGAGGTTATGGCTGAGCTAATGGTGTCCCTCAGCATCTGTCCCCTGGGACATCCCCCCATCCTGTGGCCACAGCAGACCTGGCGGCTCTCCTACGGGCAGGCTGGCAACTGAGCTTTCGTTGCTAAGCACTGGATGCTGCATTTCTGCTTCTGTACGTTTAAGCAAATAACAGAGGAGAAAAGCCTGTACTTTATCTGACCGACAGAGGAGTTAGCTGGCTTGCTCCCCAGTGCTGGCAGTGTTGCTTGGTAGGTGACTGTCCCCAGGATGATTGAAGTCGAGAGCATAAATTGTATTTGCAAAGTGCATCTGGTACAATTAGGCAGAAATGTGATGTGAATCCATCTCTGTTTCCGCTGATCCAAAAATGATGACCTTTTGATTTTAAATAAATGGCTAGTGTGGCACTCGGCCAGGATTCAATAGCGTTTTCTGAGATTGTGTGTGACTCATTAAACCTTTTACACTGCAGTTAAACATGCCAACCAAAAAAAAAAAAAAAAAAAAGAAGACCCACATGGAAAAAACTGCTTTGAACCTCAAACCTTCTTAAACTGCACCTGAATCTCAGAGCTGGAGGGATTTACATGCTTGAGTCCAGCTTACCAAGATCCACCAGGAGCACTGCTAGTGTACTAACACAGGGAAATCCCTCTGTGCTCATGCCTGTGTGAGCTCCAGGTGCGAGAGGCTGCTTATCCTCCCTGCGTGGGAGGCTGGGACGGAGCAATCGCATGAGACTGGGAATGTGTGGGAGACTCGTCTAAGGGCAACTGAGGCCATATCACACCTTATTGTGGCTTTAGACTAGAAATCAGTAGGACGTGTTTGGGGGAATGGCCCATACATAGTGCCAGCCCCAGAGCCAGAAGCAGAAGTTCCTGGTCCATGCTGGGAAGCAGAATAGGACTGCTGGATCTTGCCAGACTCAGAAGTAACTTGAATAAAATTGCACAGGGTTGATTTTTTTTCCTTGATCTCCCACTGCAAAATTAGGCCTATAACTCAAAATGAACTTTGGAGGCAGAGTTGGTCCTCGGGAAGAATTAAGGAGGGCAAATGCCAATGGTTTGCAGGCATGAAAGTGCCCACACTAGGCTACCGTACGTAGCAGGACAAATCCTGCTCCCTGTAGGGCAGAGAGCCATTCATTAGGGCTGGGAGCAGGGGCAGAGTTTCCTAATTTGCTTCCCAGAGTTCTTGTGAGTCTAACACCAACTCCACTTGAAAGATGCTCACAGCCCTGTTAAACTTGCAGAGGGGGGACCTAGAATGTGCGTGTGGAAGCAAGTTACATAGACTTAGTTTAAATCTTGATTAATCAAGATCATTTGCCTGTTTAAGAAGGTTACTTTGCTGAGGCAAAAAAATCATAGATTCAATATTCCCTTCTGCTTCTCAGAAACTCCACATTTACTATTATTCAGAGTCTTGGGACAACAGAATTTATAAACCCACAGAAATGATGGTTCATGATAGATTTGTAGTTTGCTATGCACCTTTCATTTGCCATGGATTTTACTATGTTGAATGTAGTTTTGCTGCACTACAACCTGTTTCTATTGCAAGAAGAATTTTCATTTTTCTCCTGGCTGACTTTTATTGCCCAGTAATGGATCAAGAGGACCAAAAACCTGTAGGCACAAAATGTATGGAAAAGGGAAGTCCTTTAGGTTGATTGGAAAGACCAGACCTGAGCATTACTGGGAGATATGTTTGAGAGCGTGGGTGAAAGTAATGTTTGTAGAGCTTAGAAATATGTTCTTTCTCCCCCGGAGAATATGTGCTGGCATTGAGCCAGGACCACGGTCTGCCCTTGGTTTGGGAAGCCGTAACCTTCTGCCGTAGCTGCTCTCTCAGCAGGGCTGTACGGCGTGGGCTAGCGACCTCCCGGTGTGGCTGGCTGACTGATATGGAGCAGGTGTTAAATGAAGGTTAAATGAAAGGTTAAATGAAAGCTCCCAGTTTCTAGCTTAGACATTACCTGTTTCCTTTGATCATTATATGTTATTTGGATTAGTCATAGCTGACATCAGGCACATTTTCTGTTTTGCAGTGCTTCAACGTCTCCACATTTAGAAAGTACCTCTCTATCTGTCTGTCTGTCTATCTATCCATCCATTCATCCATAATTATTAACGGAAAATTATAAATTCTAAATTCCTGTAACAGAAATGTTATGAGAAAGAGAAAAATCTGAGAACATTTACACTCCTGAAATGAATTAATGGTATTTTAGGCTGCTATTTTCTCCCCATGAAAACCTCAGAACAGACACTCTTCTAAAATGAGGAGGAGGTGTTTGCTTTAAATTAAGTAGCACAATTTTATGGAAACAACTTTCTATATTTTTATTCTCAGAATTTTTTTTTTTTTTTTTTTTTTACTTAGCATTCAATAGATCAAGTATATTTGCCTCAAGACCTGGTATTTGTCCAATAGAGAATATGGAAAGATCTGATTATCGTTGCACATTTGACACTGAATGTCCAGGGCTTAAAAAATGCTGCAACTCATCCAAAGGAGCAGGCTGTGTGGATCCAATGCCAGAGGGTATGTTACTGATAAATTCAAGACTGCTTCTAATAGAAATGGGCTTAGTTTTTCCTTCAGAGCGTGGGAGTGGACAGGAAAACTGTTACCATAGCTGTTCATAAAACAAATACGGGAATCTGCCTTGGATCAGTTCCAGGATATTCAGTTTCAGGATTGCACCCGTGAGTGCTCAACCATGAGTGCTACAGGTCCAGCGGACCTTGCTCAGCTTCTCCTTTGCTGGTGCTGCTGCCTGCAGCATATGGTGAACACGGCCATAGCTGATGGCTGTACATGGGCCCTTCGTATTTGTAAAGTTAAAGCTTGCTTCGGTTACTCAGAGCCTTCCTATAGCTCTGTCACTTTCTATAGCATCAGACCTGAGTTGACTTGTCTCTTTTATTTTGTATGCTTCAGGAAGAACATTTTGGTATAATGCGACAGTGCTTGTGAAAATGGATTTTAATGAATTAATCAGAGTGGATTCCCACCTTCTGAATCATTCACGCCTTTTGCACTCCATGGTATGTACAAACACGAACACTCCCATGTGTTGCTCGTTGCCTCCACATTTCTGTTAGTAACTGCCATGTGCTCCACCACAGGAGGGATCTCATAGTCCTCTGTGCTGGGCATAATCTTCCCGGCCAGTCTCCCCCCTGTTGTTCCACCAGATTTTTTTGGGGGGCCCTAATTTATCCCTAATTGGTGAATGTCAGCCTCATCTTCAAGGAGCTCAAATAACACTGATTTATCAGCTCCCTTAAGAAAACTTTCAGGTGTCTTCCAAAGGCAATTTAAAGACATTCTGAAATATAGGATTTTTTTTCTTGCTTAAGCATAACCTTGTTCCAGGTCTGTCTCTGTTCAGTTTTGGGTCTATGGCTATCTGGATCTGATTTTCAAGACCTGCAAAGCATGGTGTTTTCTGATAAAGCATTTTGTGTTAAACCTTTCAAGAGACAAATCTGATCTATGGCACTGTGAATGGCAGGTGGACTCAGCATTGCCGGAAGTTTCGCTGTGCAACTTCAGGATTACAGCAGGGGACTGAGTCTGGGTCAAGGGTGTTTCATTGTCATTGTTGCCACAGAAGCAGCACTCAGGGAGATGGCAGGGTGTTGCTTTTGCTGTAGGACCAAGGCTTGGCCTCATGCAAGGATTAGCAGCGGCATTGGCAGCAACATGTGCCCGGCCATGTGACAGCAGCACAGCCCGCCTCTCCCTGTTCCTGACACGGCAGGTAGGAAGAGTCCGAGGCAACCAACCAAAACACAGACCTAGCAGAGGTGTGAGGCATGCTTCCTGAAAGGAGGGTCTGCAGGAAGAACCAGGCTACAAACAAAGCTTAGACAGGGGGCTTACTTTGTCCTCCTAGTGGCATTTAGGAAATGGATTGATAAACTGGGACAAAGATCCTCCAGGCCATAAACCTGAAGCATCTCCCTAGTACATATCACCATGCCAGGCTTGGATGTGGCCTTTGAAAGGTACCCAAGAGGGCAATTCCCTATTTCCCTACTTTTTTATTTCTACTCCTCCCCAGTTTCCAGATGGGAGTGGGCTAATAGCAAAGGAAACCCTTCTGCCATCATCAGCTATCACTGACAGGTAGAAGAATAGAAGGTAGCAGTAGCATGGGGCTGTTGTCTGAATTTACTTCTTCCTCCTACCTGAAGTCACCCTTCTCATATCCTAAAAAAGCAAGAAAGCCTGGTCGTGTCACTGTATGGTAAGGAATACAGGGCAGTGTTCTACCAAGAATTTCATATCTTGGTTTAAAGCAAGCTGTGGTGAAGTCAAACACTCAAAAACCAGGAAATATAAACTGAAGCTTTGCAATGAGCTGCTGCTCAGAGGAATGTCTTCCAGGCCCTGTCTGCTCCACTGACTCCTAGTGCTCAGCCCACCACCATGTCCCTTCTCTGATCCCTGACTCAGAGTTGTGGCGACTTGGTCAGTTGTGGGGTCTCTCTGTGGCTCCTAGTCCGAGACTTCTTTCTCAGTCTATTGCTTTTCTTCTTTTTCTTTCTATTCCCTTTGCCAGCAGTCTTTTTAGTTGCTTAAAGCAAGAAGTGTTGGACAACTTTATTACAGATGTACCATAATAGCATGTCTAAAGTATAATTCATCTATTGAGTCTTTGTTGTTTAGGCATTGCAAGCCAAAGAGACTTTTCCCATATCTTTCCGGGTTGCATTCTCCTGCTTAAGCATTTGAGATCTGACATGCAGCTCCACACCTCCCTTAGCTTGGCATTACTATACTGTAACTCTGTTGTGAAATGTGATAATAAGAAGAGCTCACCTTGCATAAATACAGACTTAAATGTTGCCACTTTGCTATGGTTTCTGAATTGGTGCTTTCTACAGTCAGATTATGATGATAATCATTGCATAGGTTATGCCTTATTGCCATACAGTTGTGCTGATAAAGGAATGAGATACTGAAATGTTTGTTTCCCTGTTTTCCAGATTACTGGTGCATTACATCCCTTGAATGCCTCTGTGCACCATATCCAGAGTAACCGTGCAGGAGTATATGCTGGGACGGTGGCCTCTCAGGTTCTCATTGGATTGCACCAGCCAGCTCCGCTAGTGGAGGTTTCTTCTTCCTTGAAGGACATAGTGAAGCGTATATATTAAGTGATTGACACAGAAGTGCAAGGTTAATTATTATAATCCTGTCATGGGGGGAAGCTTTTTCAGGGGGTTTCATCCCTCTTCACTTGGAATTTTATCTGTATGGCTATCAATCTGCTTTTAAAAATACAGTGTAGTGAAACTCGTAAACTTTGCAAACACAGCCCTAACCTATCCTTTATAGGATGGAGAGTTGTAGTTAGCTAATAATTATTTTGGAGTAAATAGTTTGGAGGAAAATACTCCTGCATCATTAATTAATTTTATTTTCTCCTCATAGCATAGCCCCACTTCATATGAAAAAGCAAAGGAGTTCAAATTTGTAGCACAATCATAAGTTGCACTAAAGGGACTCTTAAAAGAAGTGTTTTCTTGGGAAGCAGATATACTCTGCTTTTATGTGTTACTTCCAGTATCTTACATGAAACAAGGAATATTTATAGTCTGTTAATTACTATAGCGTATTATTACCTACTTTTAAAATTATAGGTAAATATTTAAATGTATTCAGTTTACATTATTTTAATCTCGTTACTACTGTGTAGTAGTCTAAACATTTTCACTCCTGAAATGCATCCATACGCACTGTTGTCATCACTTCTTATTCTCTGTTTACTTTTAAAAACTCAGTCCAACTTTCAGTGAAATCACTCGGTAGATCTCCTTCCCCCTGCTGCTGATGTTTCTTAGGTTTGGATGACATCCTGGAACTGTAAGCAAGAGCTGCCACTAACTGTCCTCTTGTTCCAAAGAATTGCAGTAAAAAGTGATAGGGTTATAAGTGAACAGGGGCTACTTTCAGGGAAGGGCAGTTTTCTGATTTCGTTGCACCCATATACATCTAGAATTGCTTCAGCAGAGTTACTGGAGATTTACACTGAATGTATCATATGCAGAGCCTGGTCTGCACACATTGCAGATCAATCTTGATGCTGCTATACATACCTGTGAAAGGTGTGTTCTTCTTCTTAGATGTCAATGAATGTTCCTATGCTGAATTCAACGCTTGTCCTGAGAAAAACACTTGTGTAAATCTGGAGGGTTATTACAGCTGTGATCCTCAGCATGAACATGCAGATGTCAACCCTCACCAGCTGAGCACAAGGAAGGAAGGTAGGAAATGCAGGTCTCACCTTTGGAAATACTGAGATGACTTTGTGGTCTATCACAGGAGTCAACTGCAAGGCAAAGATTTCTGGAGCCCACAGTGCCCCTTCTCCTCCTGTTGGGAGAAGATGCCACATAAGCCAGAGGTTAGCTATTTCTGATCAAAATGCAGTGTCTTTATTTCATGGTACTTGGTGGTTTCTCCTATCTCATCCTCAGCTGTCCTCACTCACCTGCCAGACCCTCTAGCTTCAGACCCTGACTGCTTCTTAGACTAAGTCATGCAGTGCCAGTTCACCTCCCCAGCCTCCTGGGGAAATATGATTTGTAACACTATTTGTACATGAACTCTCCTTCCCATTTTGACTGCATGACTGCAGCTGGGACTCAGGGGTTGTATAATCCCACCCTGGATTACACAGGGTCCTCTGCTAGAGGCAGGGGGGGGGTTGCAATGAGTGGGATAATTTTTTGGTTCAGCATAATAAAGAGGCATGTACTTACAGCCCCCAGACATCAATTGGCTGGCTAATAAGGATAATGAGATAAATAAGTGCTTGCAGATTCAATGCTTTAGTTAGAAGACAATTTTATAATCCTTTAATCTCAAAAATTAAGATCATGTATTACTTTATGTTTTTGTGATATGATAATACATTTATTTTCATTTCTATTTATATTACTTCTATTGCTGCTTTTTAGCTGTAGAAAACATCAATGGTATTATTTTGGATTTGCTTTGTTAGGAATGCTTTAACTCTTTGATAATACTGTATTTCCCCTAGGCATGGCAGCATCTACTCCAAGTTCAGCGTTGGATCTTATTAACACTAGCAATAGCTCTCTGTCTATAAGTAATTCAAGTCTCTTGTCCATGACTAACGAATCTACAGATGCTGGGTGCTGTAAGTAACTTTGGATTTGAATTAATATTGTCTTGCTTTTAATTCAGCCACTCTCTGATCCCTTTGTCCTGAGGCTGGTTGAGTTATAGGAGGGTGTTCACAGAAGCTGGTAGTAGTTCTGGAGTGAATCTCCACATATGGAAACTTAAAGAGAGGCTTCCTCAACAGAACGTTTTGCCTGGGGGCTGTGGTGCTGTGAAGTGGTCGCTGGAGAAGCCCCACTGTTGTCCCCATGGCTACTGAAGGGAACTGGCCTCCTGGAAGTGGAGGTGGCTGCACTGGGCTCCTTGAGCCACTTGTGTCTGGTGAGCCGTTCAAGTGCAGGTCCCATCACAGGTCTTTGTGCTGGATAATCCTCCAGCACGAGAGGCATGACAGCAAGGGCTGTGCGAGGCCAGCACCACTCACTCGCCCTGGACTCAGCTGACTGCGTGTCTCAGGCTGGTCCTGGAACAAGGTGTGGGAGGATATGCTACTGACACTAGGAGCTCCTCCTGGCAATGGCCACAGGGATGTGGGCCTCTTGCTTTTGAGTCCATGAAGATGGTGGGGGACATGGGTCAGGGAGGTTGGCTGCAGCCAGCCTACACTGGAGTTAGCCTTTGTGAGTACTCTCCCTGCTGTACGTGATAGCTGTCTGAGGGACTATGATAGGAACAAACCCCAGCAGGTTTGTCTTTATATGGGTGACTTTGGCCCTTTCAGGTGAGAGTTGTCACAATCCTTTTATAACAACATCCTGTTCTTGTGGGAGGAAATATCTGTAAGTAGTTCTTTGCCTTGTTCAGAGAGACAGGCTGGGTATTCTTGATCTTCATCCACAACTTCTGATCCAAGATGAAGCTAGAGGAATTAAACTGAAGTCCTTCTAGAGCAGGAGTGGTATGGCATTGGGTGCATTTGACAACCACATGACTCAGGCCTAGAAAAAATTGTGTCCTACTGAAATAATTTAGGAAAACAACCCTTTTTCTTGGGCTAACCATTAGCATGAAAGAATGGAAGTTGTGGCAGCAGCATGCCATGGTCTCTAGGTTAGCATGTGTGATGATGTTCATCTCACCTGACTCCTGCTGTCTACAGAAGAGTTGTCTAGTCTGTGCTCACCATCTGATCTCGCTCTCTCTAGTTAGTGGAGACAGACAGGCTCTGCTAGAGGGCAATTCATCTTACCAAATTTAGACACCTCCTCCTCCTTCAAGGAGAGGGGTTATCTCTGAAGGGTCTTGTCTTTTCCCATTGACATGACAATGATTGCACTGGACTAGAGTGGCATAAATAGGTAAAATGCCACCCACCGCTCTGCCCCCACCCTTTAAAACCTGGGGTCTGTGGGGTTTTTCCAGGCATAAATCAAGGCAGCCTTTGCCTGAAGAGGTGCATTTTGATAATTAAAGTGACAAGAGGTAAAGCAGGTGTCAACATATGTAGAGTACACAGATTCACTATTCCAAACCTATTGCTGTTGCCTGAAGCTGTAGCTCACTGGCTGATCATTAGTGTTACTAGAGATTCAACACAAATACATATAGTTAAAGGAAATAAAAAGAGTAAGCACTCAATCACTCTAGTGGGATGGTTCATGGACAAGGGGACCTGGTAGTGTGAGAAGGGCAGAATCTGTCCTGATGTAAAGAGGAGGTTCCTCTGTTGATTATCAAAGTGCTTGTCTATAGTGGATTTCAAATAATGCTTTAACAATGCTTTAAAGATGAAATGTTGCTTTTTCTGTGATGACTCTTCCTGGGACTGCCATAGATCCCTCTGCAGTTAGAAACCACCGAATCTTCAGCGTCACCAGCAACAGTTTTGAAATGTCCTGGCATGTCACTTCTACTCTGAACCATACTTTCCAAGTCCAAGTGTTCAAGGGCAAAGAGATTGTACAAAACCTAAAGACAGAGGAAATGAAAATGGATGTGTCTGGACTGGAAGCAGGTATGATGTATTCAGTAGAGATCAGCTATGAAAGTTGTGGAAAAACCAGCATCTCCCATCAAAATGTTAAAACAGGTAAATATCCACTTTAAAATGTACATTCTCTCTGTTCCTCCCCTCCCCTGTCTCACCTGTATTTCAGCAATGATCCATTTGGTCCTCCCTGAGCTCCATTTGCCACCTCCTTCAGCACTTTTTCTCTCCTCTATCCCAACATCTGCAGCACGAACTATTAGGCAGCAAAGCTCTGGCTTTGGTTCTTTAGTTGATAAAGGCAGCATTGGAACTGACTCAGACTATTACACATATCAGGCTGAGCTAGAATTTTTTTTTTTTTTTTGTGGGGTGGGGGGGAGGTGTGTGTGTGTGTGTGCCTGGCACTGCATTCTGCTGCCACCCCCATTTTTCCTGGTTGACAGCTGTGGCCAGTGAGAAATCCAATCAACTGGTTTGTCAAAGGCTCAGCTGAGCTAATAAGAGTGCCCAGAGGAAGGCCGGATTCAGCTGAATATTTGTAAGTGACCAGGATTACAGGGAATAACATGGGCTGTGCAAGAAAGCTTGCAGAATACCTGTATAATTTTTTTTCAACTAGCTAGTGGTGCTAGCTCCCTGAGACCCTAGTATGTTGATCAAACATAATTTTGCCTTTTCTTTATCCTTAAATTATTTCCTAAGCCTTTATGCAAGTAAAGAAATGAATCTCTCCCCATTTTCTTCAAAAAGCAGGGAGTGAACTATTTAATACTGGCCCCAGTGAGAATGTTGCTGTTTGTATTTATCCATAAGAGCTTTCCCTTTGATCAGATGAGGGATAACTCCAGTTTGAGTCAGAAGGAAATTACTCCCTTTGTAGAGGGCAAGTAGGAGGTCTAGTGGTTACAGAAACAGGGGGCTGCTGAACTTCAGAGTATGAAGTTGCAGCCCTTGAGAAAAAGAAGAGCTTTCTAAAGATCAGTCCAAAGAGTAACAGCCTCAGATTGTTTATACAGGTTAAAGTGGTTAATAGATTCCTTGGCTCTTGGTTTTGGCTCATGTGCTCTGTACATTGTCTGTCAGGGCTTACCAGACAGAGAATTGGCACGAACTGTTTTTTGTTATTGTTTTCAGTTTTAGAATATATTTGCTATTCATGCTATGAAGATCAGGAAAAAAACAATAATTGTGACTGGTGGACCAGAGGTGAACTCGCAGGCAATTCAACCCTGGATGTAGCTCAAATGCAGCAGTTACGTAGGGCCAGGTCCACAAGGATATGTTTATGTCCAGTTCTCATGCAGTTGTAATTAGACACCTAAATATCTTTATAGACCTGATGTAAGTGCATCTCCTCAATGTATAGGAAGCTCGTAACAAAATATGGGCTTTATTTTCTTGGTTTAATACCAAATTCTCTCAACCTTCTCCTCGTCTTCTCCCTCCCTCATCTGAGATTTTGGTCTGGGTACACCAGTTTTGACTGAATCCTTTCCTCTTCTGCTTTGCCAGTGTGTGTTTTAATATTGTGTCCTACAGAAGCCAAGATATTTGGTATTACTATGAGGATTCTCAACTACAACTTCACTGGTGATTTCCTTAATGCCAGCAGCTCAGCATATGAAGAATTTTCAAGACTGTTGCTTACAGAGGTAATGCTAAAATATCTGTGGGCAATAGAGTTTTTTTTTCAATTTAGGATTTATTTAATTTAATAGAAGATTTTCTGCCTGGCTGAAATATCCCTTGAAAATCACCATACTGTTTCCTGTGACCTTTGTAATTAAAACAAAATTCAACTGACTAAAGAGATCAAGCCCTTGGCCTTATTAGCAATGGAGTAAATAAGAATTTTCCCCTACAGAAGAGTAAAGGAATTAAAAATGCAGGCATGCAGCTCAGACTCCTTTCCTTGGATCTTTAGTTTGCAATAAACTCACACTAAATTGACTTGGGGCTTTTTAATGGATTACTGAAATGACATTGCTGGCATTAATTTCAGCGTTGTTTTCTCCATAAATGCCTGACTGCTCTCAAAGCTCTTTCTTCTTTCAGGAAAAGCGTCCAGGTCAGGCTTTCTTCTCCAGCCCCACTCTTTGCATGCACACATGTAACCACTGGACACGCTCAGGTGTAATCAGCCATAAACAAAACCTGAGTCATGAAATCTGTTACCAGATCTCAGCATCACAAACAGGGGGGACGTTTCAGACGCAGTGATCTCTTTTCAGTTTGGTTTTTTTGTGTGTGTGTGTGTGTGTGTGTAGAAGACAGGGTCCAAACAGAGGAACTGGGACCTCCGTTGAAAACAAGACTTTTCCAAAACAAAGGAGAACTCGTAAACCTATGTGAATATAAATCCAAGGGGAAAAAAAAAATAATGGGGCTATACCGTCAAAGGCAGCATAGAAGAGGCATTTTCTCATGAGAAATTGCAAGCTGAAACTCCTGACGTGGTTTTATTTCCCATAGCTGCAAATGTTTGCTTTTGCTGTGCAGGAGGATTTTTGTGAGTGAATCTCCTCAGAGACTAATGCAGACTTAATTGGCATCATGGGGTTGGGAAGGAAAAAGAGCGTTGCCCATCTGTGTTTCTTCTGCCTCCTTGGGTGTTTGGGAGCATGACATGCCCCTCCTGCTTCCTCTCTCCTCTATTTTTCTTGCCTCTCCACCCTGATCTGAACTTGGACCAGTTAAACAGCTTGTTTGTAGGAATTTTTGGATCAAACTCTGGCTGAATGGGAACAAAGCTGTGTTGATATATGGTGCTGCATTACATGCTCAAAGGCATGCTTTGAGGTGTACATAGGAACAAAAGGTTCAAGCATGGAGATGGCTTCTAGAGACATAAGGTGAACTGCCAACCCCTGCACAGCTCAAATACTGACAGCAGTATGCCAGCTTTAACGTTCAGAGCAACCCCATTTGTTCAGCTCATGTGTCTGCTTGCCAGATCAGTAATAAACTGTGGTGTAATTGTGATATTGCCTTGAAGTTGGGCTTTCTCAAACACATTTTCTTGAAGTTATTCACCCTCATTTTTCTTGTCTCTCATCCTGGGATTTGTCATTTGACTCATCTGCAGGCTGGACTTGGACTGGTGAGTTTCAAATAATCTCTGGGAGCTAAAGCTATGCCCATGCTGGTAAACGTAACATTTACTGAACCATTCTGTGGCAGTGACACCAGCTGGCACAAACCAGCCTGCATTCATTCAGTTGGGTCTTCCAAAATATCGTGGTCGCATTCAGATTGCCTGTTGGGACTGGCCCCTGGCCTATGCTAAGTGTCAGACTCTGGCCACTGCCTAGGTGGCAGCAGGCAAAATCAAGCCAGAGTCTGCTCCAGGAACAGTGGAGCTGACCAAGTTCCAGTGTCTGGCACCACAGAGTTGAATATATAGGAGGCTTGGGACAAAAAGCTTATGTGACATACAGAGCTAATGTCAAGGGTCTGATGCATGCAGACTTACTGGGCCAATTCAGCTGTGATGCAGGCAAAAAGGGGCAGAAGGAATTCTGCTCACTTGAGCCAAAATGAAATTTGGTTTGTAAGACAAGTGCTCATATCGGTACCATTTTCAAGGGTACCTAGGTGCACCAAGGAGACTCATATGTCTCTGTGCTTCAATAATCTCTGAACACTAAACTTCTGAAACACTCTGAAACTTTTATTTTTGCAACATTTTCTATATTGTGCATATATAAATCTTTTAAATGGTACCACCATAGTTCAGTTTTAAAAGGAGCTGTTGGGTTCCTAATTGTCGATGCTTCTCTCCCTTTGCTCAGCTTGAAAATTCATTTCCATCTAACGTTTCTGCCTTATACAAGTCTGGGAAGCTGAAAGTGCAAACTGAATCCCTGCAAGCTGGAAGCATCATTGTGAGGCTCAGAATAACTGTGCAGGATCCCAAGTTTCCAGTTGATGTCTCCACATTTGCCCCAGTGATTTCCTACTTGCACAATGGCTCTGTGCTTTTGGTGGATCACCAAAACACTGCAGTAGAAGGTAAATTTTTTTTTTTTTTTATTTTTTTGCTTCCAAACAACCAAACAGGGATTGTATTTTGATCACACACAGTATCACCAGCATTCTTCAAGAAAAATGTTTTATAAAGGGACAAAGTATGTGGTTTGTTGGAGGGAAAACCATGACGTGAGAACTCCTCCATGGGCTTTTATCTGTAAGCCCAGAAGGGATCAGAAGAAGGAGCATTGTCCATCCTTGGGTATCTGCAGGCAGTGCTTCCCTCAGCTGTGTTTAAGGACGAGTGGAGGCCTTGATTCCCCTGTTAATTTTCTGCCTTCGTCTCTTTGTGAGCAGTTTGAATTTTGCCATGTCTTACTTGCACTGAATTGCGGATAGGATTCACGTGGAGTATTTGCAGACTTTAGATACACATGCCCTTTAGACAGTTTTGTGCTTCAAGGCTATGGGGCTGTATTTGGGCCAGGGTGTAAGAAAGAAAATCTAACATCTTCACTGTAGAAATCCAGACAGAGAAATTCCCAAATGTCCTCTCAGTGAATAGGACTAAAGAAACATGTGTGGAATTTATGTTAAACTAGGCCTTTGTTTGATCTTCAGTAATAATTTTTATCTTCAAAGGACTAAGTTCTGGCTTTAGGTTTCCCAGCTGGCACATCCAGCCAGAGCTCAAGAGCTGACAAAGCCAAGAGAATGGGTTATTCTTCTCCCCCAGTGTATTGGGACCTTAAAAGCTTATTTGCTGTGATGAGGGAAAACTCCCTTTGGAGTTGCAGAGCATATGGAGGTTAAAGAGAACAGGACAGGAAAGAACTAGGAGAGACAAATTGCACCTGAAGCCTACAAATATCACAGTGGTAGCAGAAACTAAATTGCAAGATGCTGATGTGTGCCTGAATACTTTACAAACATTATTGATCCTGGGACCAAAAGTGGCAGGGGGGTGAAGAAGGCAATAGCTCTGGACTGTTACTTTAATTGCAGAAAGCCAAGTGACTTCCAGTAGCATCACTTTTAGCCAGGAGCACAGCCAACTCCTCCACTCCTCCTTAGGGATAAAAGGGTCTATTTCTTAACTATGCCCAAACAAGCATTTGACATGAGTTTCCTAAAGTCAAATACGGAAAATAAAGCACAGGAGTGCAGCAAATGAAGGAAAGATTTGTATAACAGACTGGTTTGTTTCTGGAGCCCTGGGACATGCCCTTTGGCAGGAAGCCTGCACAGTTTCTCTTCCACCAGCCGAGCAATGGCACCTGGATCCTCTGTGGTGCGTGGCCACCAAAAGGCTATGTGCTTGCTTTAGTGATGGTGGCAGAGCAGGGAATTCAGCTTTGAAACAGCAAGGTTGAGAAGTCAGAAGGGGTGGAACAACTGAAGGGAGTGGAGCAATTGCATCTCTCTTTGAAGACTCATAAATTATTAAGTTTGCTGCCATGATTAATAGAGACACTAAACTCACTGTTGTGTGAGGTATGGTAAGGAAAGAGAAAGGGATGTGTGCTGAGGCAGGCCCAAGATCCATCTAGCACAATATCTGTCCTCAGTAGCAGCCAGGAGCCAATTCCTGGAAAAGTGTAAAGATATGGCGGCGGGAGGGTGAGTAGGGGTCTGGTCCGTGACATACGGCAAGTGTGGACAATGCCTCTCACTAATACTCTCTTAGCCATCAACTATTTTCTGCTCCAATTCTCCCTGAATCCAAAGTGATTTCTTTGGGTTTCTCCTCCAAGGGTTCCCTGTGAAGTCATGCCAACCTTTAGCATCTGTAATGTAATTAGGGAAGGAGTTTCATGGATTTTTACCCATTGTATGTACCTCTTACAGGTATAATGGGTAGTCAGAGTGAACATGAAGGTGGTTTTTAAAAAATGCTTGGAATAGGACTGTTAGCTGAGGGGGGAAGGCACTTGCCAAATGTGAAAGGCCAGAGAGATGCCAAAAGTGCAGAAAGAGCACAGAGCACACCTTGGTTGAGATGTAATAGTTACAGAGGAAAAAAGTGCAGGGTGTGTGTGTGTATGTGCATGAGTGATGTACTAGTGCCAGTGAACACTGAGAAGAGCACATAAATGTTTTGGCCTGATGCATGATTGAATGTGGCCATCAGAGGTGATGGAATTTGCTTAAGAAGCCATGCTAAGTGATGAGAAAGGAAACCCTCAGAGACAATGGAGCCAGTGACTGTGAGCTATTTGGCAATTAGCATGGAAGCGCCTCTCAGATGGTGTTTGAAGCCATCAGGAGTCACAATTACCTCATAGCTTAGTAAAGCATTAGTTGGAGCACTTTCATTGCTGGTGCTTTAGTCAATGCTGCATAATTCTGTATTCCCTCCAAGTGGCTTAGGCTGTAATATAATAGGCAGATGCTGGCCATAGGCAGATTAAATTGTCTAATGGAAACAATCATGGATACAATTATCTAGTGAGGAAGAAAGGGAAAAGAATTGCAATAATAGCTGAGAAGGAGTAAAAGGAGAAGGCTGTGTGCAAGCAGAAAGATGAACGCATGTACCTGCGTGCACATACCGGCTCTGTGCTTTCTGTTTCTAGAATGGGACTTTCCTTTGTTTCGGAGAAATAATCACAGTGATTAATCTCTGCATGTTTGCATAATAATAAGCACTTACAATAATGCATTGTTCAAAACAATTCCCTAACCTCTGATCAGAATTATTTGTCCCAAGACACAGTTTTCAGTCTAGTTTTCTGCTCGCCCTCGCTGACGGCCCTGAGGCAGTGAAGGTATATACACAAGGGAGTGCACACAGGGAGGGGTCACATCGGATTCACTGAGGTTATTCACGTCCAAAGCATTAACTTGCCCTTTGCATGTCTGCTGGAACAGGGTGCAAATGGTAACGTAAGACTCCAGATCTAAAGCCTTCAAGAGTAAAGAGACTCTGCCATAAAATTGGTCTATAACTCCATGAAAGCATCTGTAACTGATTCAGAGCAGCTGAAATTAGACATAAGGAACACACTTAGAGCGTAGTCATAGAATCATAGAATCATAGAAT